AATCGTCAACTTCCCTTACTTATGCAGCAATATACCTTCATCACCTGCATACGGGGTATATATCTCTCAGTTGATTCGATACGCAAGAGCATGCTCTACGTATGTAAAATTTCTAAAACGAGGTAAATTATTGACAAATAAGTTGATGAAACAAGAATATCAACAGTCTCGTTTAAAGTCATCATTTCGTAAGTTCTATAGTCGATACAATGACCTTGTCAGCAAATACAATTTATCATTGAGTCAAATGCTGACTGACGTTTTTCACACTAATTGTTAGGCCATTATTTACACACTGAATCGTCGACGGATTTTTCCGTTATTTCCCGATCATGACATGGAGCACACGGCGGGTGTGACCGGTCGGCAGGGGATGCTCACTCCTCCATGGCACCTGATCCCACCTCTGATGTTTGGTGGTCCGTGTTTGCTCTGCTCCTATTTTGTATTGTATAATGGACTTTTGAGCTTGAATACTGTTCGTTATCTCCATATATTTCATTCCTATATATTTCTATGAAAACTTTGGGCCCCTCTTGTGTCTGCGCCCCACCCCAATGGGTCATGATTTGAAGAAACTTGAATCTACACTACCTGAGGATACTTCTCTATCAATATTTCTAATAATGGCTTAGTTGTTCTTGAGAAGATTTTTTTAAGATACATGTACATGTATTTCCTATATATTCCTATAGTAAACTTTTACCCCCTGTTGTGGCCCTGCCCTACCCACAGGGGTAATGATTGGAATAAAATTGAATCTACACCACCTGAGGATACTTTTATGACTAATCATGGTGTTGCTGTTCTCGAGAAGAAGACTTTTAAAGACAGTTACTCTATATTCATACGTAAAAGACAGTTACTCCACATTCATACGTAAAACTTTGACCCCTTCTTGTGGCCCTGCCCTACCCCCGGTGGTTATATGGACAATCTTGAATTTAGAATATGTAATGAAGACTTCACATGTTTCATTTTTCCTTGTGCAGTGGTTCTTGAGATCAAAATTTTTAAAAGATGCCACCAAATTTTCACGAATTCTTGATTATCTCCCCTTGAAAGAGAGCGTGGCAATTCCTGTGAACAAACTTAAATCCCATTTACCCAAGGATGCTTTGTGGCAAGTTTGGTTGAAATTTGCCTAGTGGTTCTTGAGAAGTCGGCTCAGGTGAGCCAAAAAATAATAAAGACATTTATTATATGACTCTGTATTTTTAATTAAATGCTAAATATATTTGCTTTGTTATATAAACATAGTCTGCGATGTTACAACATTTTAGAATTATCTTAAGAATCTCCTAAGTATATCCAAGTAAGCCCATTCCTAAGGGAGCTTCTGGGTCTATCTTATAAGATCTGTCTTAGGACCATCTGAAGTTTTGTCCTCAGATATCTCTTTAGTTATTAAGTGGTTCATGAGAAGACCCTTTCCTATATATTTCTATATTAATCTTTGATCGTACAGTAAAGCCTCATCCTACCCCAACCCCCTCCCTCAGAGTTATTTTTAAACAATTTTATTTGAATGTACACTACCCAAGGATGCTGGCCTAGTGGTTCTTGAGAAGAATTTTAAGGACCCTTTTTTACACTGATGAATAATGTTTTTTGGACTTTGAGAAAATTATACAGCGTAAAGACGGATATTTGAAATCAACTAATTTATTTTTGATATAGGGAGTGTGCCTTTTTTTTTAATCGAGGAAAAATCTTCAAAAACAATGAAGTAACGAAAACGAATATAGCTTGTATTTACGCAAATACAGAATACATGTACATACACATTGTAAAGTCTTCAGCTACTCTAAGTCTAATATAATGTTTCGAATACTTATTTTAAATCATGACAGGTTACAAATTATTCTATTTTATGTCAAATGATGGGTCAGTCTAACTTAACAAAAGTACCCTGAAATTAGGGTGGAGTGTAAAGAGGGTCCTTAAATGATGACATAAAATTTTCATTCATTTTTATTATCTCGCCCTTAAAGAGGGCGTGGCCCTTCATGTTACCAAACTTGATTATCCTTTATCCAATGATACTTTTTGAGAAGTTTGGGTACAATGGTTCTTAAGAAGTTACAAATGTGAAAAGTTTACAGACAAACAGACAGGGAGGTACCAAACAAAATGTAATCAGAAAAGCATTCATACACCACTGGAGTTTCTAGAATGTAATGCTGTTACAGTAGTATTTTTAAACTAATAATTTTAAAATGATGAATTAATCTCAATTAAAATAAGTTTTTCTCCCCAAACATTAGAAAATTTCAAAATTTGGTTATATTACACAACTGCTAAGCAACACTAACTTCAAACTGTATTCATGGTAACCATAAAAACATACAGTTTCTTAAATTATGAATGTTAAAGTTTCCTGAGTGTTTTGCTTATTCTATGCAAGCAAAAGGTATGAATACTCAAAGCCAAAATTTCAATTAAAATATTTTGGTCACAGATAGTTTGCTTTCTGGCCAATGTGCAACATGTTGCCATGGCAACCCAAGTATTATTTGATTATGGAATCATCCATACAAACGTTCTGATACAAAAATATTGTATCTTAAGATATTTATTTTTCATTTAGAATGTTTTTTGTTAAAAATCTCATTTCAGCCCTTAAAATTTAGCCCCAAAAATGACTGAATGTAAAAGGATATTGTGGTTACAAAAGTGGTTGATAAATGTTCAGATTTGTTGCCATGGGTTAATAAAGTACAAAAATACTTTATCAGACCCATATTAAATTGACAGCTTTGCCAAATTGCTTTTTAAAGAAAAATCATCTATTTGTATCTATTATAACTCTATACAAAAATGCCAAAAATAACCCTTTTTGCATTGTTGCTATGGAAAACTTTCTGTTGCCATGGAGATAGATAAATATGAATTATTGATTCATTTTTTAAATAAATGAGATTTATTTTCTATTACTTGATAAATTGCATTTACAACTAAAAGATAACAATTTATACTATTTTTAACTCAACTCTTTACCATTTTTAACTTTTTCTTTATCAAAACATCCAACTTTGTTGCTAGGCAACGGATAGGATTTTTCAAAAAACCCGCGTTTTCGAAGTTAGAGTCTAAAAGAGGGAGTCCTCCCCTTTTATGTGAAATAAACACAACAGCTGCATTAGCTTGGTATGAATTTTAAATTGACTTTCAATATTGCCAAAATCGAGGAAAATGTTGAGTCAGCAAAAATGCAAAAACATGTATATATTCTAATGTCTACCACAGTACTACCTTTGAATAAAATATCAATGTCTTGTGTTATTTAAACACCTAAAGTGTGTGTCTTTATTATACCAGTACATAAGAATAATTGTTAAAGTTTTTATGTATAATTTCAGGCTTTAAAGATAAGTGATTTTTTGTCCCTTAACATGGAAAATTGGCTGTTTGCTAAGGAAATTACTTTGACCAGGTTTCCATAGTAACCATGATCCAAAATATTTTTCATTTTACATTCATGGATCATAGTGCAAGAGAAATCTATGTGTGGAAAATCATCGAATTCTGAGAACCTCAGTGAATCACTTAAATATCACTTTTGTCTGATTTTTAAACGGACTGGTACTTAAATCCACGAGTAGAAAAATACGCGGATTTCTTGGATTGGTATTATATGTTCTAAATGAATATTTATTATGCTGTGACAAACTTCAACAGAAAAATTGAGAAAACCTAAATTAATTACACACGGATAAAAGTACATGTACAGTAATTCTATGTTCTTTATTTTCAAAATATTTAAACTTTTACTGTTATTGACTCAAATTTAAACAAATGATTACATTTACAGTTTCTTTTCAATTGATAAAAATTTGCTTCCTAAATTTTAGCAACTCGATAGAAATGAGACAGAATGTTTATGACATGTTCCCTATGTAAGGTATAGGAAACTGACAGAAAAGCTAGGATGCAGAATAGACATGTTGAATTAACGGTAGAGAGCAAGTTTATGCATAAAAGAAACAAATGATTCTTTTTGTCTTTAGTAGTCTTTTTAAGAAATTAAATATAACTAGTATGATCTGCTGCGCATCCCTCTGAGAAATATCCTGTTGAATTTTATTTGATGGTAGTTTATCGCTTCATCCTTTTCACTGCACATTAAGAAAAAGAATTTTCATATTTTATTCGATACAAGAGACTGCTCAGCTTTAACAAAACTTTACAAGTAATCCATGGTATATTTACAATGTAACTTTTAAATAACAGACATCAAAAAATGTGTGCCAAAGACACATTGGACGTAATGCCCACTGTGCCACAGGTTTTTATAATGAAAAAAAACAAACAAACAGATTGTCCAAAACCGAGTAGTTATTTTGTCTACAGTAATTTTTAAAGATTTATGCATGACACAGGTTGTAGCAGAGGTTATTACGGTGTTGATTGTAATCTTTCGTGTCCTCGGAATTGTAAAAATGAGCAATGTTTCGTCACAAACGGGACATGTATTGACTGTGCCAATGGTTGGACTGACTCTAAATGTAGCAAAGGTAATTAAAATTATTAGCTCATTTGATTACTTAACCTATTACTTACGAACTTTTATGATATCGATCTGCAGGCTTAAGTCATATCCTACAGTAATTTTAAAACAAGCCTTTTTCTATAAAGTTTGTTACATAGATTAAACAATGATGACCATATACATTTGTTAAGAAGATATCTGCATCTTTTTTTGCAGTATGTTCAGTTGAAATGTATGGTCCAAATTGTTTGCTATCCTGCTCCGGACATTGTAAAAACAGTTCCACTTGTAATCCCATCGATGGTATTTGCTCAAAAGGTTGTAGTGAAGGATGGATGGGTGTATTTTGCAATAAAAGTAAAATTTTCTTTAAACTTTATGCAACAGAAGCAATCCAATTTTTATGATTTATATTGTATGCATTAAAAAGAAAAGTTTATTCTTGTTTAGAAATAACTTTTAAAATAATGCAATGAATTATAACAGCTTTATATTATTCTCTCGACAGGCTGTGTCTCTGGAACTTTCGGGACTGATTGTAAAAACAACTGCAGCGGGCATTGCCTGAATGATTTCATCTGTAATAGGACAACAGGACAATGTGACTATGGGTGTAAACCTGGGTACAAAGGAGAACTTTGCAATAACGGTAATTATTTCCAGTCAAATGAAACCGTCACGATAGCTGAGTCGATAGAGGGCTTGTTCCATGATCAGAAGCTGGTTGGTTCAAACCCTGGCCGCGACTGACCCAAGTCGATAAAAATAAGGAAGCAACTGTTCCTTCGCCAAGAGCTCGGTACTTTGAAGTGAAAGTTGTGGGTCTTTTCTTCAGGGAACGAGTGTTTTAGTTTTTTCCATTTTTTACCTAGGATATACATAATCCTTAAGCCTAATAAATGTTGTTTTTGAAATAAAGTCCAACAGGCTTCGAGGAGTTCATATCTTTGTGGCTCTGGGGTGGGGGAAGGGGTGGGGTGGGGGGGGGGGCGGGGCAGTGGTTTCTGTTAACGAGTACCTGTGGACTTTTAAGATTTAAAGGAACTACTACTCCTGTACAGAAATCAGAAAATCGCCTACGAAATATTTTATCTGATCATGAATAAAGCACTTTGATTTCTGATTTTTATAAGTTATATTCAGTATAAAAGTAGCATTAGCTGCAATAATGTAGCCCTCTCCGATTTTTTTTTTTTTTTTTTTTTTTTTTTGGGAGAGGGCTTCAACTCCTTAGGATCTCCGTAATGGTGCAAGTGCGGGAGTGATTCACTACCGCACAGATTTCGACTCAAATTATCAGTAAGTGGGTATTTTATTAACATATCTTACCTGAACTCATAAAGTGTAGTTATGCAAGACATGAATTGATCCAAAAATATACAGAACAATCCGTATATCGGTTATTTTATGTGTATGTCAACATCACAACTTGAATTTATCCGCCATGTTTACTGACCTTGATCAATTTTATTTTGGAATAACAAATGAGAATTCGGAATCTAGGGGAGCGGATCTGTATGGATTTCCCTTATTATAAGTATAAATATCACTGTATATGAAAAAATATCACATGGAATGCTTTTATTTATCGATGTTTAATGATATCATACTACACAAACCCATATCAACACCGATATTTACATTTTCAAGTGATTCTAAATTTCATGCACAAGTCTCACTACATCACTCGAGAACTGTCATGGCTGCTGAGGAGAAAGACTGGAAAACATGGAGATTTATTTTACTTGGTTTTCGCATATAAAGGGGTATGATGTTGATAGTGAATGAAAATTCCGTCTTATTGGAAGTAAGTTGAGTGCAAAAACAATTTATTTTGCCTGCAGTCGCCCGTATCTAAAAAATTATTTGCACCATTACGGAGATGCAGTGGAATTGTAGCTCTCTCCTGAAAATATCAGATAAAAAAAAATCGGAGAGGGCTACATTATTGCAGCTAAAGTAGCATCTGTATATTAAAACTAAATCAAGACTGTTTAATTGTAGTGTATCTTACAAAACTCGTTTGTCTGAGAACAGTAAGATATTGGTAACTCGTCTAATTTGTACTTTAAGTGTGCAGTCATGGATTTTTTGGACCAAATTGTTTGAAGAAATGTAGTCCTTTCTGTATTGAAAACAACTGCCAAAATACCAATGGACTCTGTATCTATGGGTGCACCAGTGGTTACAAAGGTTCAATATGTGTAGAAAGTAGGAGATTGTTTTGTGAAACGATTATTCAATGCTCTGAAAATTCGATTAAGAATATTCAGCAATATGTTGCCATTGCAAATTGATAACTTTGATTCTTAAATAAGAGTGCAGCAAAGGATGATATGGTCAGAACTGCTCTTTGAGTTGTGAGAACTGTGTTAATCAGTCTTGTAATCATATAACTGGCACCTGTCACTATGGATGTAAACCAGGATGGAGAGGTTCAACATGTTCTCTAGGTAATCTTTGTATATGAAGTGATATACTTAAATTTTTTCCTCATGATATAAAAATAAATTAACGTGCATTTTTTTCTTCTTAGTTTAAGCTTTAGTGATTCTCGCATATCTATATATTGCATAATATTTCCATTTCTATTTGTTTTCTCTGTGATAACTCTTTGAAAGTTAGTTGAGTTTTTTTTATCATTCTACCGGAATGTAAATTTCGCCAAGCGAAAGGTCAGGAGCTAAGAAGGGCTTATATGCACGTATTTCTCGTACGGCTGTCTATGTGTCTGACGCTAAGGAGGCCTAATATACATGTAAATCTCGTGCGGCTGTCTTTGTGTTTGACGTCAGTAGGCGGTGAGGCCTCTGTAATTTAAATCTATTAGTCTACATTTTTAAAATCTAAATTTACAATTTTATTTCACAATGAAATGAAATATAGGGAAACACTGTCTAGTTAGTAGAGTATGCCAGGGGCATCAACGATAGCTGGAAACGTAGGATAAAATTACCCCACGTTTCCAACTATCGTTGATGCCCCTGGCATACTCTACTAACTAGACAGTGATTCTTTGAATACATTTAAAAAAATTAGTCACAAAAGACTTTGTTTTGAGACAAGAAAATATCATAAATGAATATAGCATCAAAACAATATGCTTGCATAAGCAAAACACGTCATACACAAATGTAATTATATAGAATTAAAAAAAAAAAGAAAAAATTAAAACACGTTTTGTGCTACAAAAAGCATGTTCTTTCACTAGGGACGGAAGTAGTCACAATCTACTGCTGGATTGTATTTCCATGATCGTGAATATGTTTGGGTAGTCCGCGAAAACAGGGCTCCAGAAATTACAATGATTTCAAATATATGTGTCAGCGCTGATCTAGAAGAAGCATGAGTCAGAGAATAAAACTGATCTAATGATGCACTTCATGTTAAATTTATAATGACTTATCTATTTATTATCTCTAACTAATACCTCATTTTAATTTTTTTTTCTCATATACTCGGCAGTGTGTACGGCAGGAAAATATGGGAGTGACTGCATGCTTTCTTGTAGTCAGAACTGCATTAACAAGGAGCCATGTAACATCGTGACTGGAAACTGTAATAATGGTTGTTCACATGGATATAAAGGAACACAATGTACTTCAAGTAAGATTAATTTAACGTTATTTTATAATTGCATGTGAGATTGATTTAATTTTTTATGCTACCTATTCTCGGAATCTTTTTTTTTCTTAATGTTGAAATAGAAATAGTTTTTTTAAAACTCACTTTATTTCTCTCAAACAGGGAAAAAAATACAAATTTTTAATGAACATATATACTCTTCCATATATTTTGCCCTTTCTAACGAGAATCTAAGTTAAAAATATTTAATGTAAAATGTATGTGCTATACCATTAATATTAACTTATAAGCAATATGTGCATTTGCAATATGTGTTCAGGATATTCCATAGTAGCATAATGTATCTCCTTAAATCAAAGAAAATTAACAATGCTAAGATGAAGGTACGGTTTCAATATAAATCTCCCCCTGTACTTTTCTATAATACTAATATGAAATTTGGGGAAAATAAAAACATAAGGTTTGATTTGATAGGGAAATGTAGTTATAAATACGAGTATATATATATATATATATATATATATATATAGAGAGAGAGAGAGAGAGAGAGAGAGAGAGAGAGAGAGAGAGATAAAACTCGTATTTATAACTACATTTCCATTTCAAATCAAACTTTTATTTTCCCCAAATCGTAACCTCAATATCTATACTAAAATTCAATGCAAAGACTTGTAAACATGAAATCCCCCCAATATGAATAGATAAATTTACTCTAATATTACCAAGAACAGCTTTGATTGAATTTAAAAGCAACAAATACAAGAAGCTAAAAATACTTTCCCCAGATTTTAGGTATACTATGACCTGACGCAAATTTGAAAGTTTTTAAAACATCAATTTTCTTTTTTTTTTGGGGGGGGGGGGGTGGACCTTAAAACGAAAACTGTGCTTATTCTTTTCAGAACTATAACATTGCTAAAAATAATACATGTTTTGGTTAGTTGGTCAATGGTTATTCTCTACAATATTAGCGTAATTTACCTCTGTTTATAAAAAGTATAACATGATAATATTTTTTTTAGAATTAAAACATAAACAATTCTCATATTTTTGTCATTTTGTACAAATGGATTTTTCGGCGCAAATTGCGCAAACATTTGCTCTGAAAATTGTTCTGATATATGTCATCATGTTGATGGGACTTGTAACTGCAAATTAAGACTGATGGATTCTCCAGAATGCAAGCAAGGTAAGAATAAACATTTCTAAAATATGTAAAAGCTGTTTGATATGACAAAAGCAACACAGTACATACATTCATTCGTATTTTCAAAACTGCAGTAGTAGTAGTAGTAGTAGTAGTAGTAGTAGTATATATATATATATATATATATATATATATATATATATATATATATATATATATATATATATATATATATATATATATATATATATATATATATATATATGTTGCAGGGGTGGTTTATCTATAGATCAAGTGTTAATGGAATAACAATCATCTCCTGGCTAAGGGTTCATTCTATAACATATCGCCTTTCGGCTCTACGAGGGTATCATATAGCATTATTTTTCCGAGTGTAGCGAGGCATAGCATACAAGATCTCAATTCAAAGACTTTAACAATAGGCTGAACATGTGACTACACTGTATTCACCAACCTATATAAAGCACTGTCCATGTGTAGAATCCATTCTTTTTCCTGAGCGGGCTTAGCGTATTTTTACTCGGGTGTATAATTTTCTCTACAGGGTAAACTTTTTGTTCTAGGACGTAGTCCAGAAATAAAACTTTTGGTTGTGTCAAGAACATAGTTCTGGCTCGTTTTCTGATTCAGTAAATAACATTACTGTTATTTACCGATTACAAAGTGTTTTATAGTTTGGAAAACAACATGTCTGATAGAGACGATGTTTTGTCACTTGGGGAAAGTAGTGACGATAATTTTGACAATGACATTAATCCTGAGAACATGGACAAAGTGCACACTAGATCTGAGGGTAATACGAGAGGGAAATCTCGTGTCATTCGGTCAGGTATTAAAAGAAAATCATCAGATACAAGCGTGAAAGCGTCTAAAAAACGGTCTGTGACCAAAAAGAATGACCCTTGTATTGATATTGATTCATTAAGATCTACTCTGGGTATTGACTCGATACTGAAGTCTATTTCTTATTTGCCTGAGTCGGTAAAAAAATTGACAA